TTGGTGTATGTCTCGGAGCACATTTACTTGCTGATGTTATCGGTGGATGTACTCATTTAGGAAAATATGATTATGAAGTTGGTTATGTTCAATATGAACTTACATCTGAAGGAAAATGTGATCCAATTTTATCAAAAGTATTTGAAAAACAACAAAATAAACCATTATTCGTTATGCATCATAGAGATTCATTCGATTTACCATCGAATGCAACTATTTTAGCTTATACAACAAATAATTATATAGCTGCTTTTCGGTTTGGTTCAGCATATTGTGTACAATTTCATCCGGAAGCATCATTTACTGAATTTAATGAATGGATACAACAAACACGTAGCGATGAACCAGAGATATATGGAAATATTAATATCGATAAAATTCTATATCAAGCACAAGCATGTGAAATTCAAGCTGAACAATCACGACAATTATTTTTTGATACATGGTGGAATTCTATTCAACAACAACAACAACAACAATAATACTTCTACACAGATAAATAATGCAACAAAGTTATTAATGATGAATAAATCTGTTTTTTTTCTATCAATATTTAGTTATTCTAATATTTTGAATGATCAATCATCGTTTAGAGTAGTTTTAGTTCCAATTAATAGTTCTGTTAACTATATAAAATATAGGCATATGTCTATTATTCTGCGTGTGATTCTATTCAATGTTTTCTTGGATGTGAGTGTGGGTGTTTCTTTTCTCTCCGTACTCACACCTTGTATAGCGAGATGATTTTAATAATTCAAAAAAAAAATTAATATGAAAAGAAAACTTATTCAAAGCAAAAACTCAGGATATCCCACTCCACTGCAGATGGAGACATTGATAAAGAGTAATGTCAGATGAGAGAAAAAGAAAAATAACGATAGTAGAATGACACGATTTAAGATATTTGGTGAACAATGGCATTTCAGTTGTAATTGAGGACAGAATGACAAAGGAAGAAAAGCTAATCATATCAATTTCGAATATTTACGCAAGACGAGGGTTCACTGAGACATTTATTTTCTCTGTCTCGGAAACCCAGGTAAAATCTAGGGAATTGAGGATTCAGGAAGGTATTCATATAATCTGACTCAGGAGCCTTGGCTAAATCACTGAAAGTGGAGTTTCAATCAGATATTTATTTTCTCCGACTATAAAGCATAGACAAAATCACGGAAGACGAGCATTCAAACAGAGTTTAATACTCATCAACCATTTCAAGGCAAGAAGAATAGGTGTCAAGCAAGCCGACAAACGACGCATTCATATTTCGGAGAGATCGTCAAGGACGAACAAAAATGAGTTACTCATATTTAAGTGTTAAGAGAGTCGTTGCGAACGTTGTTATTTACACATATCACGCCATACTCTCTACGCAATCTCTGTTGTACCCTGTCGACAAAGAACGAAAATCTATGCTTTCATCTTATCTCGTGCATGTGATGACAAAACAGGATGAAAGATTTCACAAGATAGCACAACATGTAGATGTTTTAGGCACGTCGACAGGGCTTTTCTATAGTATTTACACGGCCACGAAATCTGGAAATCGATCTACTAACAATCAGTAAGCAGAAAACGAAAACTAGAAATCAATCTTAACAGACCCAATTCATGGTTCTATCAGTTCGATAATCTTTACTTTAGTTTCCAGCACCAGGACATAGACAAGCAGCATTAACTTGATGATGAAACCTAACATTATAGGGCAGCTAGTTTAGACTCAATTCTGTTCAATCCATTTAATTTTTCTAACAGACTTTAGTGCCTCCCTAGATCTATAGGATAGTCTTGAAAAACGGATTCTAATGACTTCACATTGTGTCTTACCATACCTCCCATCTAGTGATCTAAACAGAAAAAGAGTGATGTGGGGCTAAGCCCTGCTATTTTGCAGAGTCTGTTTACAGAGACGAACTAGGCCTCAAAAGCTTGAGGGAAGAGTAATTTTTTCACCTCAAAAATCAAACTTTCTTCCGTAAATTCGTAGTTTAGAAAATCCAAGGTATCTAATAGCTTTTGGTATGTCAAAATTTTTGATGGGATCTTCTATTATGGGTAATCTTCTAGTGTACAGTTGAAGCCAAAGTTTATGAAGAAAAACTTAGAAAACTAAAAGCTTCAGTCTTCGATCAAATCACACGAACTTTAGCATCTTAAGACTCAGGATAAAAATGAAGATGGCCAAACTGATTGTTGTAAGATACTTTTTTTTGAATTTTTCGGTACAAATTTGATGGTTCTTTCCGTACGAAAGCGATCATATTTTAGCGAAGACCCACTATAGAGATCTAGCCTTCTAACAAGGCCGGATGATTATGAATCCCTATAGAGTCTTCGTGAAGGTGATAATCTGCATTTACTTGTGAAATAACACGTAGATCGGTAAAGAAGCATGTGCATATGATAAAAGTTGAGGAAAAAAGGACCGGATAGAGAATGAAATTGTGAACACTTTTCGTTTCTTTACAAATATGAAAATGAAAAAAATAATAACAATGGTCTACATATGGTACCATCATGCTTTTTTCTAACCTAGGATGTCCAAAGATTGTTCTATGATTGTCAGATGCATTGAATGGTAGGCAAATAAGCCTGTCGTTGTCGTAATGCATTTTCGATATTTTTTTTAAGAAGACAGAAATGCGCGATGCTCCTCTCAAGATACTACAAATCATTTTCGTTCAAAATTGTGCTTTCAACTTCTTTGTTCACTTTTCGAGCTTGCAACTTTTGTACTACATTTCCATTAGAGCAGAGGTACTTGAAAATTTTCTATTTTAGAATGGCCTAGACGATTTGCACACAGCAAACCATCAAAAATGGCAGTATATACACTCCAGATTACCAACGAGCAAATCGAAAAAGTCCTGCGTCATGCAAATGTACTCTCGCACGACGAGCAGTTCACATCAACACGTATCGTAAACGGATTTTGTAATCCTATATATCACATACGGGTATCCAACGCTCAGCAATACGTTCTCAAGGTAACCAATCCTCTTTGGAAAACACTAAAGACCAGAAATGAAGCAGTCGTGCTTGATTTTTTGCACAAATATACAAACATACCAGTACCAAGAGTCATATACTATTCGTACAAAGATGATCTCATCGGATACGAATACATTCTTATGGCTTATGTACCAGGAATTCCACTATCCGAAATCTATGATTCAATGAATTTTGAGGAACGAAAACCATACTTGATGCAACTCGCTAAAATCTACACAGACATTGTTAATATAGATATTACTTCGGCAGATGCGAACAAGTTGGGTTGTTTTGAAAAGATTGTCGAGAAAAACGGGACATTCGAGGCTGTCTTATGTCCCAACGTTGATTCTCGACTTGGTCCGTATAGCGATATCTATGATTACTCGTGTGATTACATACAGTACAGACTAGCAGAAATGTTGCAATGCAAGTATTCTTGTTACGTGCCGAAATTCGAAGCAATCATCAAGTTATTACGAGAAAAACAAAGGAACTCTGTATTTGACGAGAGAGTAGTGCTCACACATACAGATATAGCACCTAAAAATATAATCATTGATCCTAATACGAAAACCATACAAGCTTTGATCGACTGGGAATGGTGTTCGTTAATGGTCACTGATCAAGATTTTGAAACAATGACAATTGGAGCCGAATGGAAAGGCGAACAAGAGGTGGGTTTTCTTCGTGAACAAATTTGCGCATTGCTTGGTGAGAAACGAATGAAAATCTATCAAGAGCGGTTTGAAAGACGAAAAGATATGAACGATGCTGTGTCGGCAGCGATGGTGATTGTTGCCTATACGGATTGGTACCATGGAAGAGAGCATTTACTTGGTGAAGCAGAAAGAGAATTAGAGCGTAACACACAGAATTTGTTTCAAAGATTTGATATATAAATAATTCTTTGTGTGTTGTTTTTATATCTTCTATTTGATTAATAAGAGATATCTCCTCGGAACTGATGTGAATCATACTTTTGCCGGAACATGATTGTTCACATGACAATGTGTTTTCAATTTTCGAAAATGTTGGTAACCATGTTTAAATAATACTTCTATGTAAAGTTCACATCAGCTAATTTTCTTTTGTCATCATAGACAGTGCGGATATTCTGCACAACAGCAGAAGAACTGACTCGTTCATGCTAGTTTTAGTATAGAGAGTCCAGCAAATCAACAGTTAGAGAAGAACCTAAAATATTATTTTCAAAAGCGCAGAAAGATGTAAAACTGTGACCGTTAGAGTGCGTTTAAAACATTGAACAAACTTTCTTAAAACAGAACTTGGGATAAATCGTCCACTATGGCCTTACTCTAGGACAAGGTTTCGATCAAATGATGGTGGTGCTGCAAAGTCTATACAAACAAGACGTGTCTTATTAACAACTAGTACATTTGATTGACAAAGGATGTTTAGTGTTTCTGATCAACTTGTTGATATGGGTTTCAGTAGTGTTCTCAAACCCTTCGACACTACTTCGGAACCAAAAGTGAGAATTATCTTTAAATTGTAGGTGAAGAATGCTTAGGGAAACATTTGCACAATCATGGACCACTTCATAATATTTATAAGCGCCAATTCGAATCATACTATCAGACGTTTCACGAGCATAAGTGGTATTTAGTAACATGTATTTCCATTGATCAATATCTACTGATGCAATTTTTCTCTTTTCAAAAGTAATAACTGTTCGAAATCCATGCTGCACAGCAACATTCATGATGCTAGAAGGTTCTTCAAAAATTCGTTTAAATCACATACAGGCATCAGGAAAACAACACTGCGTCTGGATGTTTGCGTCGCGCGCCGTCACCACCACTGAAGCGGATATCAAGAACTGTCAGAAACGCGCATTTCGGTCTGTTAATGCAGTGGATACGTTTGGGAGAAATGCCTTCGACGATGTTCAGCGTAAAGAGCTGAATATAAACCCAGGTCAAAGATGTACGGTGGGAACCCACGGGATCCGATGTATTTCTCGCGAATTCCTGTAGAAGGATTCCAAAATCGATTCCGGCCTCCGTTTTCTGCTTGCTTTCCATCAATTCTGGAATCCGGAAGCGATCACCGAATGCGGTTCCTGTAATTTATCACGGCGACAGGATACGAGCTATATACCACTGCTTCCGCCCCGGTTCCGATGCCCAGATCCGGTCGTTTTCAATTCAGTTCTGAAGTTTGGATCCCGTCACAGGAAACGACATCATACGATTCGGAACTTGCTGGGTGCAGTTGAATGGAATCAATAGCTATTAATCGATAAACTCCTGATGATTGTAGAAAGCACACAACTGAAAGCAGTTGCGAAAGTTTAGATTAAAATATTTCTGCAGAAAATTCTGCAAAAACCGAGTACATACGGAGCGCCCAAATCAAAATCGATGCAACAACTACTTTTAATCAGCTCTATTTTAATGCATTAAAATATATTTTTCAGTACGAATAACTGGATTGAAATCGGATTTTTTGAGTCTTTCTGAGACAT